ATTACACGCTCTTGACCAAAGCATTTTTTAAAAACTTTATGCCCTGCGTATCTGTTTATTATTATTATTATTAGTCTATTATTATTATTATGGATTGTATTATTATTATTATTATTATTATTTTGGTTGTTGTTGGGATTGTGGCTGTTTTGTTTTTATTAGCGGAAGAATGATTGAGTGTGCGAAAATGAATAAAGTTAACAAATCAGAGACGTGCGTGAAAGAATGGGATGGATGAATGAATGAATGAATTTGTGAATGAATGAATGAACAAACGAACGAACGAACGAACGAACGGACAAACCAACGAAAGAACGAACGAACGAACAAATGAATGAATGTGTGAGTGAAAGAGAGATAAAAAATCGAATGAAGGAACGAATGAAGGGACGGATGATGAATGGACGAATGTAAGAAAATTAAAACATTTCTTGACTTATATTTGGCTATGCATCAAATTATTATTATTATTTTGCTATGTTGTTACTATTGCTCACAATGTTGTTGTCGTTGTTGTTGTTGTTGTTATTGTTGCTGTTGTCGTTGTTGTTATCACCATTGTGTAATGATTTATATAATTTTTCTTCATAAAATTAATGTTATGTATGTTTTTTGTTTGTTTGTGGTGTGTTGTTTATTCGTTTGAGTGTTCGTTCGTTCGTTCGTTTGTGTGTTTGTTTGTTCGTTTGTTTGTGTGTTTATGTTGTTTGTTTACGTGTTGTGTTGCCTGTTTGTTTGTTTGCTTGTTTGTTTGTTGATGTCATTGTCGTTGGCATTGCTCTAAAAAATAGCGATTCATAATAACGAATATTAATCATGACTCTCTCTCCGCTTCTTTTTGACGCCCGGACAACTTCATCTACCTCCTCTTCCTCCTCCTACTTCTTTTCATCTTGTTTTCCATCTTCTTCATCTTCATCGTCGTCGTCCTCAACAACAACCACAAAAACAGCAACAGTGCAACAACAACACCAATAATAATAATAAAATCAGCCACAACAACAACAACATCAACAACAACACCAATAATAATAATAATAATAACAGCCGCAACAACAACAACATCAACAACAACATAATAATAATAATAATAATAATAATAATAACAGCCACAACAACAACAGCAGCAGCAACAGCAACAAAATAAATGTACATCATTTAAATTCTCAGCCAACTAGCGCAACAACACAGAGGTCACAAGGTCAACGTAGATTGACTGACTGAAGCGAAAAATGAATAAATCCTCACTAATACACGTCCACTGCTTTTTTTGTTTTTTACAAAAAAAAAAAATCAAGAAAAAATTTTTATTTCGAGAATGTTAAAGAAATGAAAAATTTTCAACCCATACTCGTCAGATATGTGTGAGTGTGTTTATATGTGTGTTTGAATGTGTGTGTGTGTGTGGTAGTGTGTGTGTGTGAGTGTGTGTGTGTGTGTGTGTGTGTGTGTGTGTGCGTGTGTGTGTGTGTGTGTACTTAAAAAAAGGTCATACCATTTTAGCGAAAAAGGGGTGATCAAAATTCAGAAAAAAAAATTTGAGTTTTAAAGGAAAAAATAAAATAAATGAGAACAAAATAAAAATAAAATATAACTGACATTCAATAGCCGTTAAAAATTATCTTGAAAATGTTAACATGAGGAATGGCTGAGACAGCCGTTTTAGAGGCACGTAAAAACTCAGCTCGGTCAAATAAAGGCATTAATTATAGATAGAAGTGATGGTAATAGCTTGGAAACCACCATTATGTCGCTCCTGGGAGCCTGGAAACATCACCAAAACGTCATCGCGTTTTTTTTTTATCCTTCCATCCTTCCATCCTCACATCATCTTTTCATCATCGTCGTCGTTGTCAGCATCGTTTATTACTTTTTTATCAATATAACTAACAAAACATTTGTCGGTTTCTCTGTCTGTATTTCTCTCTCTTACTTTCTCTCTCTTGCTATCTCTCTCTCTCTCTCTCTCTCTCTCTCTCTCTTTCTCTCTTTCTTTCTTGCCCTAACTTCTTCTTCTCCTTTTTAATTATATATTCTCTCTTTTGTCGTTTTATTTTACTTTATCAATCTATTTCTCTGTGGGTCTAATTTTTTCTTTCTCTTTAATTTATCTCCCATTTTTTTGGTTTGTTATTGCCTTGGCATTATCTTTATCATCATCATCATTTTTTTCCTTTTCTTCTTCTTCTTCTTCTTCTTCTTCTTCTTCTTCTTCTTCTTCTTCTTCTTCATGGTCCTCAACATAATTTATGTTATCGTAATCATCGTCATCATCATCGTTGTCGTCATCATCGTCTCACACTCATTTATTATTCATATCTGCATACTCCGTCGTCCGTTTCATTCTTATGTCATCATCGCCGCCATCACTATCTTCATCATCAATGACGTCATTATCACCACTACCATCATCATCATCAGTAACACCATCCGTGACATCATCACTGACGTCATAATCATATTGGTTGTCGTTTTAGTTTTTACGTCATCGTCTTCACTGCCATCATTGGCATTCATTACTATCACCACCACCATCATCAGTGACATCATCAATGACGTCTTCAGTGACGTCATCAGTGACGTAATAATCATCTTCGTTATCGTTTTAGGTTTGTTTTCTGCTGCTACTTAGTCGGACGTCATTCGTTAGAATAGAGAAAAATCAGAATAACAGAAAAAAAACACAAAAAAGAACAAAATGTGAACAAAAATAGGCTAAGCAATTGGCATATATGCATGGAACGAGATGATATAGAAGATTAGTTATGTCTTCTCGCATGCACTCAAAATTATGTCTTTTTCTCTCTCTCTCTCTCTTCCTTTCTTTCTTTCTCTCCTTTTCTATGTATGTTTGTATGTATATGTATATATTTTTTTTTCTGAAGTCATTCATTTTAGAGCATACTATAAAGTAAGCAATATTTTTTTTAGTTTATCGGGATGGTTGTTTTAATCTGTCAATATGTGTATGTACGTGGGTGTATGTACGTGTATATATGTATGTATGTGAGTATATGTATGCGAGTGTATGTGTGTGTGTGTGGGATTTTGTATGCATGTGTGTATGTGTTGTATACAAAGTGTAGGTGGATGTACACACTGGCCTATTTGTGTACGTACTCTTTGCGCGGGTGAGTATGTATTATCATATACTTTCGCTGTGTGTGTGTGTGTGCGTGCGTGTTGGTCTGTGTGCGTGCGTGTGTGTTGTTTGTGTGTGTGTTGTCTGTGTGCGTGCGTGCGTGTGTTTGTGTGTGTGTGTGGGTCTTTCTGTGTGTGCGTGCGTTTGTGTGTCTGTGTGTGAGAGTGTGTGTACGTATGTCTTGAGAAAACTGAAGTGACTATGTAGGTAAAAATCTGATGAGGTTGACATTAAAAAATGAATGGCATTTTTGACAGCAATGAAGATGAAGAGGACGATGACGATGATGATAATAGTAGTGATGATGTAGACGACGATGATGATGATGATATGATGATGATCATTCTATACTCACGGGACTATGAAGATCATTATTATGAAGGATGGTCGGTAAAATAGTTTGGAATGAAATTAATATACACATACATCATCATGGCGATGATGTTGATGATGATGACGATGATGATGACGATGATGGCGTTTGTGATGAGTTGTTTTTATGATGATGATAATAAGAGTGTCTTTAGTTGGAGTGAAAATATTAGAATGAAAGCAGTAGTATATCGCTTTTGACAACATCATCATTTTCATTATCATCATCATCTTCATTATCATCATCACCATCTTCCTCCTCCTCATCATTATCATCACTATCTTCTTCATCATTATCATCATCATGGTCTTTGTCGTTTTGTTATTGTATTATTTAGAAGCCGGCAGAACATTAAACTTAGGGCTGCCAAAGTTTTATGATGATGATATCGCTAATCAAAATGGTGTTACTGTGATGATGACGACGGCCATGGTGATTATGACGATGATAGTACGATGATACAATGCTGATACTTCTGTCAGTGATACTGACATGAATGATTGTATTATATTATAATAGTTATAATAATGATCGTAAGACGACGATGGTAGTGATAACGAAAATGATAATCTGGCAATAATACTGATGATGATGATGACCATGATGATGATGATGGTGGTGGTGATGGTGATGATGATGATGACCATGATGATGAGGATGATGATGATGATGATTTGCACCAAATCTCATTAGCTTTATTAACTGTTCTAATCTGCAACAAGCTCTACCATCGCGGAGACTACTAAGATGATGACGATGACGATAATGATGATGACGATGATGATGACGATGATGAAAATAACAAAAACTATATATGATAACGGAATGATAAAGATAGACGATGATGATGATGATAAAGATGACATAACAATTGACGACGACGACGATGATGGCGGTGAAAATGATGACAAAGAGGAAGAATGTGATGAAGATGACGATGACGAATAAGACGACGATGATGAAATTTATGGTGATGAGGAGGAGGAAGACGATGAGGATGACGATACGATTGTTGGCGTTGTTATTGATGGCATCTGAGAGGCAATGAATTTTGATTGATTAATTTCTGCATGCAATCAGGTATAATGAAGGGCCAATTGACGCAAGACCAGCACTTAGATATCCGCGCAACGACAACAACAACAACAGCGTCGGCAATTCAATCACAACAACAACAACAACAACAATTATTACATCAACAACAATTGCATCAACAACAGCTGCAACTACATCATCATCAACAGCAGCAACAACAACTCATTCAACCATCTTCATCGTCGTCGTCAACGTCGTCGTCGCCTCAAAGTGTGTCCTACCATTCGCAGTATCAACAGCAGCCACAGCAACTTCTTCACCAGCAACAACAACAACAACATCAACAATCACAGCAACACCAACAACATCACCAGCAACAACATCAACAATCTCAGCAACACCAGCAACATCACCACCATCAACAACAGCAGCCGCAAAAACATCGTCTAGATCGTGTCGGCAGCAACAGCAGCAGCCACAAGAAGTCTCGAATGGTCTTCACTGAGATTCAGCGTCGCACTTTGGTGGCCATCTTCAAAGAAATCAAGCGACCCAGCAAGGACGTGCAGGCGACCATCGCGGAACAACTTGGTCTAAAGATGTCTACAGTCATCAATTTTTTCATGAACGCGAGGAGAAGGTTTGAATGGTTGAGTGAATAAACGAACGAACGAACGAACGAACGAACAAATGAATGAATTAATTAATTAATTGAAAAATGAATTGATGCATAAATGGGTGAATGGATGAATGAATAAACAAATAGGCGGATGAACGGCTGGAGTATTAATCAGTTAACTTGATTATGACATGGCAAATAAAAAGATTTCAAGTAGTCCATGCTCGTTCGCAGTGCATATTAATTGTAAATTTTGTTAACTAATTTTACTGTACCGCCAACAGATCAATTGAAAAGTACACAGACGATAATTTTTCCTCCTCATCATCATCGTTGGCCGGACATGAACATCATCATCATCATCAACAGCAGCTGCTGCTGCAGCAGCAGCAGCTACTGATACAGCCGAAAATATCTGACAACAACAACAACAACAACAACAACAACAACAACATCGTTACTAGCACAGACTGCGTCGAAGAGACTTCTAATTAAATTCCCAAAAACAATTTTTTTCCATTTTTCTTCTCTTTTTCTGTTACATTTTTATTTATTTATATTCCTATTTTAGCCACGACTTCTAAGATAAAATTCGTTTCTTGTTTTGTTTTATCTTCAATTTTTGGTTTGCAGTAGTCATTTTTTAGTACATTCCGACATTTTAAGAATATTTCTTGGCATTTTAATTTACTTTTTTTTTGTTGAATTGTGATTTCAGAAGCATTCGATAGTCCTCACATTCCCTTCGAAAATCTACGCGTTATTTTTTGATCCAACTTTTATTTTAATTTCATTTAAATCATTCAAAAAATATAAATCACTAATAATCATCGCAATGCAATTGGAATAGAAATAATAATAGTTTCTTTGTATATTTATATATGGCTTGAGTCAGATAACATACAGTTGACATATAAAACTTCTAAAAAAAATATGTGACCAGCAATAAATAAACAGTCACCAAAAATTTTCACATTTCCAAAGCCTATATTTCATTGTAAAGACACCTAAAACTGGGAGGGAGGCCCATGCCAAACGACCCCTATGGCATTCCTCTTCTAGGGCCTGTTTCTATTTATATGCACCCATATGTGTATAAACGTCTATTTTGTTGGAAACAAGTCGATATAGAGCGATTTTTATACGATTTTCAACTTTCTATTTTTCAGTTTAAGTAGTTTATATATGTATATTTTCCTTGTGGTTTTGTAGCTTGTTATATGTATGCATAAGTTGTTGATAATGTTTCAGGAGTAAAGGACATTTCTTGAGGGCGATTTTTCCTCCCTATTCTTAATTTGTGATGCATCAGACAGCAATACATTTTTTTTTCTTACAAACGTACTTTTAGCATTTAAAACCTTGTTACGCGGTACGTCGGCGCGGATCTATCATCATTCAGGTCTATAACCTTATGTGTACACGCACACACACGCATACTCGTACGCACACACACACACACACACACACACACACACAGAGACACAATCACACATAATGCAATTTTCTGTATATACATATATATACACATATGTGTGTGTTTTTCTAGAGTCTATTTTAGATCTTTTCGTTTTTTTGTTTTTTTTTTGTTTGTAGGTTGAAGTGACAGACAAAATGTAACATTAAAATGTTTTTCATTGCTTCTGGTTTCTTTCTTCATTGGTTCTGCGTTTCAGTTAATTTCTTAATGTCTGCGTGCTATTTAACACGTTGTCCCTCCTGTCTTCTCTTTTGCGCTTCTACTATCCATATATCAGTCTATCTCTCTATCTTTCTATTCGTTTTATTCTATATATCTAGCTAGATATCTATCTATATATATTCATCTGTATAACTGTATCTATATATCAATGTGTTTTTTGTATATCTATCTTTATCTATATATCTATGTAATTTTTTATTTGTTTGTAAATCTGTAATTAATGTTATCAACTCTTAAGTTCATACATTTTAATATCAACTAATGTACACGGTTATATCTTTGGTGCCATTTCGTTATTAACTGGTCAATACGATAATAATATTATCTATTATTATCTATTATTATTTTTATTATTATTGTTATTATTATTATTTTTATTATTATTGTTATTATTATTATTTTTATTATTTTTATTATTATTGTTACTGTCGCTTTTTTTTCTTAGATACACAGCAGCAGACAGGCACATTGGTTTTGTTTTCAATAGTTAATATAATAAAGGAATTCTAAACTTGAATAAACGTTAAAATGAATTTGTGTTTCTGCCGCTGCAAATGGCGTAGTAATAATGACGGTGACGTCATAGCGATGGGTATTCATGACTAATAATGATGATGAAACACACAAACACACACACACACATACATACACACACATATAAGAATTGAACTATAGTATATGAACGGAAACCTTGAGAAAAACAGTGCACAGGTTTCAACGTGATATTATTCAGAATTTAGATGGCTGATAGATGGAAACTTCCAGTGGCGGATCTAGAGGGGGCCTAAGAACAATGCTCCCCCCCCTCCGTTTTGAGTTATTAAAATTCAGTCAAATTCACTTTTCAGACGGGAATGTTTATCATTTTTAGTGTCTTTAGACACAAATAGTTGCCATTATAAACTTTGCCCTATAAGTTTGAAAACGTGGCACTGGTATAATGAATTAAGCTGGTAGTTTTTTTCACTAGATTCATGCAGTATTCAATCCCCTGAGCAAGAAAAATTATAAATAAATGTATATGTGCCTTGCATGCTGTAACAGTTTCTGCGTCTGTCAGATACTGATTTTTAAAGAATAATAAAAAAATAATAATAATCTGGTAATGGAAATCCCAACAATTTTGATATATACATAGTATCTTGAGTCGACCGAATGGTTTTCATTATGTGCTAATTTTTGTTGTAACGCGATAATGATTATAGTTGTTGGAATGAGACTTAAATTAAGAGCAGCCAACGATCCTGAAGACATTACCGATAATGAAATAACTACATGGTGGCATATGTGTGTGTCTGTGTGTTCGTGTGTGTGTGTGTGTGTGTGTGTGTGTGTATCGGTGTGCGAATGGGAGTCCTGTCACATCAACCACTTTCAAAGTACATGATAAATCAATTAATTAATTCACTACCCAATCGTACATTTGTGTATTGGGTGTGTGTGTATATATATATATATATATGTATGTATGTATATGTATGTAGTGTGTGAGTTTATGTATGTGTGTATGCGTATGCGTGTGTGTGTGTGTGTATATCATGCGTGTGAATGTATGTGTATGTGTATGCACGTGTTTGTTTATGTAAATACATTTCATCTGAGTAAAGTAAACAGGGCAGAGGTAAACAAAGATGCATAGATGAAACAATTGCGATAATGGGCATCTTATAAATTTATTTGTTCTTTGTTTTTCCTCCCTACTTGATGTTTTTAATTTTGAAAGGATGGGCTGAGGTTGTGCTGCTGTTATTAAAGTGTCATTCGTCGTTGTTGTTGATGTTTTTGTTGATGTTGATGTTGTTGTTGGTGTTTTTGTTGTTGTTGATGTTGATGTTTTTGTTGATGTTGATGTTTTTGTTTTTGTTGTTGTTGGTGTTTTTGTTTTTGTTGTTGTTGATGTTGATGTTTTTGTTGATGTTTTTGCTGTTGTTGATATTGACATTGATATTGTTGTTTTAATGCTTTTGAATACGTTATTGATGTCACGTCGTTGATGTTATATGTGAGATGATCCTGTTGTTAATGTTGTTGTTGTTGTGTTGTTGTTGTTTGTGTTGTTGATGTTTTTGCGTGTGTTGCCGTTTGAGTTGTTGTTATTGTTGAATGTGATCTTTCAGTCGTTAGGCAACACAACATGAAGAGAGTAGTATATATAAATAGCATCGTTACTTATTTATTGCATTACATTCTCTTAGCAGTATTAATAATGTCATTCCTATCAGAATACTAATACCTCAGATATTAGTCCTAACAAAATTAATGTACTGTTAACGATTTTCATCACATTGTCGTGGTATTAAACTATTGGCTCCTACCATCAGACACTCCCAGCAATTTCTCAGAAAATCTACACGAAATAGTTCCTCCACCTAACTAATATTCATAATCCACCTCATCAATATTCATAATCCACCTCATCAATATTCATAATTCACCTCATCAATATTCATAAGTCACGTGGCTTAGTCCGTCAGCCAATGAAATTTGAGCGCGCGTGGTGACTTGGCTATAAATGGGGTGCGTGCCCGAAAAGACGCGCTGAATTTTGGCGGAAAATTTTCTAAAATTTTTTTTCCTTGATTGCAAACCACCACAGCAAGTGAGGTAATTAATCATTTAATTAATTGATTTAACTATCGAATGTATAATTAATTGATTAACTTGATTATTTATTGAATTAACTAATACAGTTTAGTTATTCATTATCCTACCCGTGAAAAGTTTAATATCAATGATAGTGCTACAGTCAATCCGTTGACGCTACGCTCTATATTCGATAAAATTTTGAATTACAAATTTTTTTTAAATTTGATAAAAAATAGATATAGATAAACAAAAAAACGAAATAGTTTTTTTATTTTTCACTATTGAGAATTAAGCGTAAGATCCAGCAATGAAGAAAAAACAAACATGTGGTGTTAATAAATACCAGGATAAGTGTTAGGCATATTTTAAGATTAGTCTTGATTTTAAATTTTGGGCGATTTCTTGTTTTTCTTAAGAAAAACTATACTAATTATGATCAAAAGTATTTTTATATATAAATCTTACTTTGTTTTAAGATATGTGTGTATGTATTTTTGAAATAATACTAATAGGCCTGACATTGAAATAATTTTTATTAGTGTGACGAAGTTGTTGTTACTGATGTAGTTTTTTTTGTGGCATTAATAATGTAATTAATGCTGTTAAAAATGATTGATGTGTTATAATTGCTATTATTATTATTGTTTATAATTATTATTATTATTGTCGGTTTATTAGGATTATACAAAGTATTTGGCAAGATAAAAGTGAGAAATAGAAAAATAAAACGAACTAAAAAAGAATGCAAAATGAGCAAAACACATAAATCACATTAAAATTTTAACTGCCTATGCAAACATTCGCATTTAGAATTTGAAAAATACACACACACATATACACACACACATATACTTACACACACACACAGTAGTAGCAGTAGTAGTAGTAGTAGTAGCAGCAGCAGCAGCAGCAGTAGTAGTAGTAGTAGCAGTAGTAGTAGTAATAGTTGTAGTAGCAGTAGTAGTAGCAGATCACAGGCGATGTGTATCGAAACGTAACAAATAAAGGTAGCACGTCATGTCACATGATAACTACGTCATATTTTTCATAATTTCGGAGTGTAAATTTATGAGGCGCTAAATTAATTTTCTGCTGTATTTATTGAGGTCAAGCATTATTTGTACTTATTTATTTTTTTTTATTTTTTATGTTTAAACGTCTAAAAACTATTATAGTTGGTTCGTTTTAACCAAAATGAAAAATAAATTTTCAAATTAGATGAAAAAATTTTTAAATCATTTTATTCTATTTCTTTTTCTGACACAGAATAAACTTTGCACTAGAGAAAAAAAACAGCAAATAAGTTTCATCATCGTCGTCATCATTCTCGTCATACCTTACGACATCATCATCACCATTTCCACGTCATCATCATCATTTTCACGTCATCATCATCAATATCATCACAAACATCATCATCAAAACCATCCATAGCGGTCAATCTATCAAGACTTGAATTTACTTTGACTCGTCTTCGTCACTTTTTATTACAAATCCTAGTCATTGGAAAACATTACAACAACAACAACAACAATAACAACAACAACTACTACTACTACTAATCCTGCGGATGCAACTGCTACTACTATCATCGTTTGTACAATTAAACTTTAAGTACTGCAATACTACATTGTGAACATTTTCATAATTCTACAAGTGATGTTACTAATTATGATATAGCTTATGATACTACCATAATTTTTAGTAACAACTGGTACTATATGTACAATTATCATTAGCATGTATTGATTGCTATGTCAGATGTGACTTTTACTACATAAGCTAATAGATAGACGCTGTCATGTGCTAGGCATTTTAACACTGCTACATGGTAGTATTTATAGATAGTATAGCATTGTTACTGTTGTTCACGGTACTTCTGAATAATCAAATTACTCTATTAACATTAGTACTGTTTCGACAACAACAACAACAACTAATTTTTCCGAATAATCAAATTACTTTATTAACATAAATACTGTTTCGACAACAACAACAACAACACAAATACCTAACAAATATAAACCACATTTTTCTTGGCCAACATTAAATCAAAGCAAATGTCTTACTTACTTTTTCTTCTGCTCACGACTACCATTGCAACCCCAGCGTCATCGTCAACGTCAACGTCATTAACATCGTCATCGTTAGTACCATCATCATCATTACCGTCGTCATCATCATCATCATCTTCACATAAATCTTCTTCTCTTCTTCGTCGTCATCTTCCTCTTCTTATCTCCCATTATCCGCCATACTTGAATTTGAAACCGGATGAGGACTTACGTGATGACGTAACGTCGAAAGATTATAAATACGGCAGAGATCTGGAGCGTGGAAGACTGAGATATATGGACGGAAATGACGTCATGATTGATCAAATATTGACGGGTTTCGATGGCGACAACATTATAAATAATAATAATAATGACAACATCAATAACAATAAAAATAGCTTTGGTAATAATAATAGAAAATTCAGCGCCTACACCAGAGTACGTGCGGACAATGATGGCAACGATGATCGTGACGTCATCGATCACGTGACAAGTGACAAACTTTTTGACGTCATTATGAGAAGAGGAGAGAGTGATAATGACAAGGAGTATTACGACGGCAGCACTGGTAATGATGACGTTAACAAAATGAAGATGTTTAAGAAGATGTCGCGAAGACTAAAGAAGAACAACATCAGCAATGCGACTACAGCAATTAGCAGCATTCATGACAACAACAACAGCAACAACGGGCCAAATGACGTCATGAAACGTAAAAAGTTGCAAAAGGAATTTCAGAAAAGTTCTTTGAGGCTTTGGGGAAAAAGATTCGGAAATCCCCGGTCTAAAAATAATATTAATGATGGTAATGATGATAATAATGCTGATAATAACGATGATGATGACAATAGAATTACAAATCGTTACGATGGTGAAGATGGTGATGATAAAAGTGACGATTCAGTTTCCAAAATTCAATCTACCCAGAGAAAAATTGACGAAAATGATGACGTCATCATTTGGAATGATAAAACTAAACATTCATCGCCATCATCTTCATCGGCTTATTCACTATCATCGTCATCATCGTCGTCGTCGCCACGATCAAGTTTGTCATCTGGTAAACGTACGAAAAGTTGGAACCAAAACAGAATTAGAGTCTGGGGCAAAAGAAATGACAACGACGACGATGATGATGTTAGAAATTATGAAAATCCTGATAATGATGGTGGCGATGATGATGATGATGATGACAAAGATGTCCGTGATGATGATGATGATGAGAGAGATACGCATGAAGCAGGCGTAAATTATTTGAAGGATCATCGCAGCTGGAAAAACAACAGAATCAGAGTCTGGGGATGATGAATGAGTGAATGAGTGAGTGAATTAAAAAATGAATGAATGAACGAACGGACGAGTAAAATGGGTGAATGAGTCATCATTATCATCGTCATTTATTTAGATATTTTAACACGATTTTAAAAAACAAAAAGACTATTATTATTAAAAATAATAATGATAATAATAGATCTTTCATAAATTAGATCGAACTGATAAATTTATTAGAAGTCAAATGTTGATAGCCTAAATGACGTTGAAATGTTTGCAATTATTTAAAATGTGTTGCAATAAAACTTAACCAGCCTCAAACGAGTTCAAGTTTTTCTTAGTTCAACTTCTTAATTTGCATGTTTGGAAATTTATTCTTACTTATTCACTCGCTCACTCGCTCGCTCACTCACTCACTCACTCATTCACTCACTCACACACTGACTGACTTATTCATTCACTCACTCAGATGTTTACTCACTCATTCACTCATCCGTCCATCATCATCTTAAATCTTGAATCGGCTGAAACACTCAACAAATATCAATAAGTTAGTGAATAAAATAATTGAATAAATTAATCACTAAAAGAGTCCAGACAAAAAGTTCAATGCTTCAGGCATCAATTCAAAACGATCTATTTAACTTTAACCTTCTATGGGCATTATCGTAGCTACTAAGGATGATTTTTTAGAATTAATAACCCCAAAATGAATGAGGGAATGATTGATTGATAGAATTAATGAATGGATGACTAAAAAGACATATGAATAAACGAAAAAACTAAACTAAAAATGAATGAATGAATGAATGAATGAATGAATGAATGAATGAATGAATGAATGAATGAATGAATGAATGAATGAATGAACGAACGAACGAACGAACGAATGAATGAATGAATGAATGAATAAACGAATGAATAAATGAATGAATGAATAAACGAAAGAATAAACGAACGAGCGAACGAACGAACGAACTTGAAAAACGAACAAACAAATTTATGCATGCATAGCATATTCGAAACATTTAAGATCATATAAAATTTATAAAGATTTATAACTTAACTAAGAGTGCTAAGTCAACACGTTTCTTCACTGAAAACGCTCATTAAAACGAATTAAAATTCCAGAAAATACACACACACGCACGCACGCACAAACAAACACACAAACACGCACATGCACACACATCAGCACGCACACACAAATACACACACACACATGTCGCCATTATACAATAATATTAGGTGTTTGATGATGCTTATTCAAATGTTTATAAATACTTGAAGTGCTGTGTGTTACATGTTAGTCTGTCTTTTCGGTTAAAAAGACCTGCTAGCATAGTTTTATCGAAAGGATTAAATTATAAATAAATATATATAAGTATAAATATATATAAATGTCTGTGCGTGTGTGTGTGTGTGCGTGTGTGCGTGCGTGTGTGCGTGCGTGTTTCATTAATTAAGCTATATAAGCGTAATAAATCGTTAGAAACCGTGGAACAATAAAGCGAGTAACTACATAGCGAGTTGTAATGAATTAGAAGAGTGGAACAATAAAGCGAGTAAATACATAGGGAGTTGTAATGAATTAGAAGAGTCTTGCTTAAATTATTCCGATGTCTCGAACAACATCATCATCTCATTCATCATTATCATCATCGTCGTCTCAACTAACACCATTATCATCGTCATCGTCATCGTCGTCGTCTTCTTCGCCACCGGTCAATTTCTCAGCTGCTGATTACGTTGTGTTTAGCATCTCTCTCATCATCCCACTACTCATTGGCCTGTATTTTTTCCTCCACCAAAACTTCTGGAGAAAATTTCGTCAGGTAGGACAGTTCAAATCTAGAAATGGTGGTACTGGTTTTGTTAATGGTGGTCGTGAGAAGGGTGCCGTTGTATCCAATGACCATGTCGTCAATGAAGATGGTGGTGGCGAAGGTGGAGTCGACACCACTGAGACGTTCCTGATGGGCAACAGGTTGGGTTTTATGGACAGAATTTTTTATGGTTTTGAGTAACTTTTATCATAATTATTTTATATTATTAATAATAATTTCATTTGTCATCAATAACATCATAGTTTTTTGATGTTAATATATCATCATGGTCGTCATCATCATGTTATAATTTTCATCATCGTCGTCATCATTACGTTATAATTTTCATCATCGTCGTCATCGTCTACATCATCCTCTAGGTCAATGAACTTTGTAGCTGTTGGACTGAGCGTCTTAGCTTCCATACTCAATGGGGCTTTTGTCATGGGTATACCAGCCGAAGTTCACTATTACGGTATTGCTGTATTTTCGTTGTACTACACATGTACGTATGTTGTACACGCGTTTCAATGTACGCACACATACACCTGTGTATTGTACACATACACGTCCTAACTTAGCTACTTTCACTCATTTGCATACACATACACACGCATAAATTTAACTAGTACATATCATACGTTGTACTTATATATTAGGCAAGAAAATAAATTTCCTCTGATGTATTGATAATCTCATTGAACTGTTGCATTGTTAAGCGAATGTATATATTCCCATGAATGTTTAATCATGTTCTTTATACTTCTCATCTTACTATACAACTCTTCTATGCTAATGCTTTTAGATATTTAACATTCATAGCTTTACCGGCATACACACACGCATACATGTATGCGTGTGTGTCTGTATGCCATTGTATAATAAATGTATTTTTTGCAAAGGTATACAATGTAAGTTACGTAACATACTGTATTTCTGTATATATAATTACACGCATCTTTTGTGTGCTTGTTTTGAAAAGTGCGTGTGCGTGTGTGTATATGTGTGTGTATGTGTACGTGTGTGTATGTGAGTGTGTGTGTATGTGTACGTGTGTGTATGTGTACGTGTGCGTATTTGTCAAACAAAAACTTTTATATAGTACTTTTGCAAAAATCAAATAGTTTAAAAACTCATTTATTATTCATCGAGAACTTTTAATTTTTTAAATTTTCAAAAATAAAGTGATAAAAATAAAAACTGCTAGCATAAAATTGAATAGCAACTATAGAGCGATATGGAACTCGTAAAAATGCTACATACCTACACACTTCACACAACAGCAATTCAAAGTTTTATTGGTGGAAAAAATTTTTTTCAAGCTATTCGTAAGTGCCTGAGTTTGGTGGTGCAAGACAATTTTCGACAACTTCCCAACCCCATCTATTTTTGAGAAAGGGTCGACGTTTACAATAAGGCTCTCTAATAATTTAGGGCAAAATACCACCCATACTTCTACTGCACTGTTGAATGATTTGCACGAAATTTTTATTTGTTTGAAAATGTTTTTTTTAATTTTCCCTCCCAAGAATTTTGTGCTATAGTTCGATTATTCCGTCGGTTTGTCATGAAAAATCTAAAATATAGTTAACAATGAACGGTATGTTTGGTATACTGAAACATGCAAAAAAATACATACGTACACACATACACTCACAGAAACACACACACACACATGCATATATACAGATACTGGCACACACACACACTCAAACAAATTGAAGGTGTTGGTATCGGCTACCAGCCACTTAGCATTGTTCTGATAGCTCCGATTGTCTGCCATGTATTCATCCCAACGTATCACAGAATGAAGTTTACCAGTGCTTATGAGGTGTAATTTTGTGACTGCTACTACTACTGCAGCTGCAGCTGCTGCTGTTACTGCTGCTACTACTGATGCTGCTATTACTGCTATCAACACTTTATAATAGTAGTATAAATTACAATACTTATAATAATAAAAATTATTAAATATATAATTTTAAACTCACCCGTCAGTACATAGAATGCAGGTTCAACAAGCCCACCAGGCTCCTGTCAGCCTCCATCTTTATTGCATCCATGGTAATTTTAAAATAATAATAATAATTATAATAATAATAATTATTATTATTATTAATTATTATTATTATTATAGGTATTTTTTCTGGCCGTGGTGCTTTACGTTCCTGCTTTGGCCTTCTCACAAGGTACTTGCTGCGTTGTGCTACTGCTTTGCTGGCTCTTTAACGATGAATAAATTATAATAATTATGAATAAATTATTATAATTTATCAGTGACGTCATTATCCCTGTACTGGACTATAGTGATAACGGGAGGCATATGTACTCTGTACACCGCAATTGTCAGCTAAGTTGATAACTTCGTTTTCACTAAATATACATTTGATTTAATGACGTTTTTCGATTTAAAATGAATTATAAAACGTTAAATATTAAAATTAAATTTATTTCTATAATAATTAATGATATTAATTTAATAAGCTAAATTGAAATTCACATTTTTAAAAAATATTCTTCAAGGGAGGAATAAAAGCCGTCGTCTATACGGATGTTCTACAGATGGCCATCTTATTAATAGGTACCCAAAAACTAATTTGAGTAAATTAATATTCATAAGTTTTAGCCAACTAATTAAAATATTAATTTGATTGACAGGTCTCATAGTGGTTTCCATAATCGGTGCCAATAAAATGGGTGGAGCCTGGAGCGTGTGGGAGGTGGCCAAGATGAATGGAAGAGCAAACTTTGAAATGTTTTTATGTTTTTTTTTTCTTAAAGAACAAATATTATTATAACGGTAGTAGTAGAGTAGTAGTAGTAGTAGCAGCAGCAGCAGTAACAGTAGAAATAATAGTAGTAGTAGCAATGGCATAAACAGTAACTGTAGTAGTAGTTACTGATCCTTGCTTCCATTAAAGTCTATAATGGAATTTTACTTCAAAAAATTTTACGTTATTATTATTATTATTATTATTATTATTATTATTATTATTATTATTATTATTATTATTTAATTAAATATATTTCACCGTTCTGCACTTAACTTCACAATGAGCAAAATGCTCTTAACCTTTAATATTATTTTATTATTATTATTACTTTGGTGCCAGATTTGATATAGATCCCAGAACTAGGATAACATTTTGGAACCAGCTGATTGGTCAGGGCGTGATGTACCTATGCCTTCAGATATCTAATCAGATGATGGTTCAGAGATACATGGCTGTAGCCACGCCCAGAGAAGCCAAAATGTTAATCGCGTTAATTAATTATGCTAATTATGTCATGTTGTTATTATTATTATTATTATCATCATCATCATTATCATAACCAGGTCTATATACATGGCGATGGTTTTGATAATAATGCTCTATATGTTGATAATTTTTGTTGGGTTGGTTGTCCATTCGACCTTCAGTAAGTGCGATCCTATATTTAGCAAGCATATCAAATCACCTGATCAGGTTGGTTCTCAAGTTTGTGGAAGTTTTGTAATCGGTAATTTGTGTAATTATTTGTAATTATTAGTAATGTTTAATTTGTAATGTGTATAATATGTAATCAGTAATTTGTGTACTAACCAACTAGTAGAAATTTTAATAGTTACATTATCAATAAATACTATTCAAAATGTAAAAGTGACTTTGACTTTAAACAACAAGCAGTTTTTGATAGATTTTATCTGAAGTTAATATCTCTTTCAATACAATAAATTATTGATTCCATAAAATTTCATTTTTAGATATTTGTATACTTCATAATGGCTACGATTGGCGATTTAAAAGGCGTTCCCGGTTTGATTACTGCGACGATATTTGCAGCCGCACTGAGGTTGGAAAGGAAGAATGGAAAGAAAGAATTTATTTCAATTTATTTTAATTATTTATTCTTTAAAAATGAGAATTATTTTGGATGAAATTGTGAATCGCTGTGACATGCTTCGTTTTCTGTTATCGTTTGCAACGTTCACCATCACCACCACCAAAATCACAATCATGATCGTCATCAGTTCGGTCAGTTCGGTCATAAACTCCATATCGGCGGTCATCCTGGAAGACTTCGTAGAACCGGCGTATGAGAAAGTTAAAAATGGTCGAAAGATGGCAGACAAAACAAGAAGAACCACTGCTACTATCATTGGTATGGTAGGTTTATACATACATATCGTATATACACAGCGTGTACCCTATATATACACACAACGTATATCGTATATACACCCACCAAATTCATACCCCCAACGTACTCACGCAGTTGTAATCTTCGGCCTGCTGACAATCGGGCTCTCCTTCGCAGCCAACCAGTTCACCTCCAAACTCTCCCAGGCAGCTGGCACAATATGGGGTGTCCTCGGTGGGCCCCTCGGTGGGATTTTCTTTCTGGGGTTTTTTGTCCCTTTTTGTAACTCCGTGGTTAGCTGGTTGTTTGTGTGACATTGAGTTCTGGTTTTTGGAGTTGTTATAAGTCGTGATAAAACTCTTACAGTGACATTTTTCTTCCATACAAATTGAACAAGCAAGCAGACAAACAAACGAATGAACAAACAAATAACGAATGAACGAACGAACAAAAAATCAAACAACCAACCAATCAAAACAAGGGCGCAATAGTAGGTGGCGTAGGAGGATTGATGATATCGTTGTGGATCTCAGTGGGCAGTCTGTTGTACGCCACACCCAGTGCAACACTCCCCATCGGAACCTGCACTGCAAACTCCTCCTCTGTCACTCTTCCACTCGTGAAAAATAGCACCAGGTCCTTTTCCATTGTTGTGGAGTCGCTTGTTTTTTCAGTTTCAATTCGTAACTATTCTTCTTCTTCAATGTATTTTTCTATATATTGTTATTATTATTTCCCTTCATTAATCATATAGCAATTAATCCTCCCTCACATTTCAACACCGATTGTACAACGAACACATTCCACTTGATAACACAAATTTAAAATCATTTTCACCCTCTGCGAAAACCTCCACCAGTTCATCGCCACCCCTAATTGATCTCTACAACGTATCGTACGCGTGGTACGCCCTAATTGGGTCAGGGAGCACGTTCGTCATTGGCTGCTTCGTTGCCCTATTAACAGGAGGGTGCAAGAAAGGTTCGTGACCTCAAAAAATTTGAAATTTTTCGGGCTGTGGATTATTTCATTAAATGAAATCCTCTTGCGTTTGAATGAATATCAGCAATTTTTTAGGCTGATGTTTTGAAAGTATTGTTGGTTAATAAAATTTTATTACGACAAATGAATTGCTATTTTTTTCAACTAATTTCAAGTTGCACTTTTTTAGAAACTAGGAAAAACCTAGATAATTCCAATTGGTATTCATGTGCCGACGAAATTTGCTGCTGCTTGCCAGAGAAAATTAGAAAAATTCTCAGATGCGGTTTCAATGGCTCCGTGGAAAAATATGATTTCAATGAAGATAATAATGATGACGATGACTATAAAAGTCGCCAGAATTTTGGTTGCAATGGTGAAAGAGGGGATGGAAATGATGGTTACAAAGATGCTGGTGGTGATGATAAGAAGAAAGATGTGGAAGCGGTAGGTGGGGGTGGGTATGATGGAATGTACGAGCAACCGCGCTGGAACAACCGCGATGCCAACACAGCAAGGGTTAGTGGTGTCTTGTCACATTTAAGATTTTTTGGGTATAAAGAACAATCTCTTAATGACTTAAAAAGATCATAAATTATTTTTTTATGTAAAAAGATGAAAATTATTTGAAACAGTTGAAAGATCGTTCGCGACGAGATGACGGCAAACGAGTCAGGCCAGTGCAAGATGGTGAATACACGAACGAAGCTTTCATCGATGACGTCTGTATCATGATCGTTGGCTTGAGCAACTATTACAACACTAACACGTCAAATGATTGTCCATATTTTATTGAAAAGTTTTAATTTTTCGAAATTTTTAGTCTCCTCTTTTGCAGGGTTTACACGCACGCAATGCTTGTCTAATGAATCCATCTAATTTTTTGCCTTGATTCAATTTTAAGCATGACGTCATAAATGATTTTTAAATTTTCGTCATTTTGTTAAAAGACCATTTTTATTAGAAAAAATATACTCCAAAAAATAATGAGCAGTTGTCTGAAATTTTTTAACAGAATATGATAGCGGGTTCAATTTTCTATTAGAAAATACATTGGTGAATGTAACTGCCTGATGAATTTGTTTCATACATGGTTCCCAACACCTAGCGATTGCATTTTTTTTTTAACGCGCACTGATTTTTAACTTCAACAAATATGAAAAAAACCTTTACCAGTCAAATAAATCAAAAATGTTTATAAGGTAGCAAAAGTAGCAGAAGCAGCAGCAGCATCTGTGGTAGTAGTGGTGGTAGTAATAGTTGTTGCAGCAGTAGTAGTGGTGGTGGTGTGGTATTGGTGGTTTTTGTTGATTCAACATGTGCCCTACATTATATTCTATGCATATGTATGATCCAAGCCATCACGACCATCAAATCAAATGCGAAATGAAATAGTTTTCCGTATTTTCATTGAACGAAGCATTGTAGAAAATTTGTTTCCATGGCAGCATAAACAAACTCAGAATTTTATTCACGATGTTCTTAAAACGTAGGCACAAATGTTCGTTTATATAATATGAGCTGGAAATCTACATGTAATTTCATTTATTTCTCTTTCATTTGCGATGGCTAAACCAGCTAAAGTATGTTAACTGACTGATTTTTGGTTGATACGTTTGCTTCATTTCAGTACATAATTAATTATTAATTTCAGTACATAATTAATTATTAATTTCAGTACATAATTAATTATTAATTTCAGTACATAACTAATTATTAATTTCAGTACATAATTAATTATTAATTTCAGTACATAATTAATTATTAATTTCAGTACATAATTAATTATTAATTTCAGTACATAATTAATTATTAATTTCAGTACATAATTAATTATTAATTTCAGTACATAATTAATTATTAATTTCTGTTCTTAATCTTTCATTTTCTTCAAAAAATTGAAAAACAGTCTTCCGTTCCAAACACAAAAGCATCCGTTGGACGAAAATCTGACATCAGGTCGGTCGCATTTTTAAAATAAACCAATCAATCTATCTTACCTTACCTTATCTGTCGTTCAACCATGGATGTATATAAAATCCATGCGTTCAACCAAGCACTGCAATTTATATAGCGCAGTTTTGACAGCGTTCAAAAAAAAGCTTTGCAAACATTTGACAAACACGCGTAACACTTAAAATTTATCATTATCTTAAACCTAAACGACAATAGATTAAAATTAATATTTATATGTAACATGTACGTAACTTATAACAACATTGACAACAAAATGCAAAACTTTAAATTTAAACATACTCATTGTGTAACTTTCAACACAAGTGACCGACCGATAAGGTTCAAATGCTTCATACAGAACACCATCCTAGATGTTTTAAGGAACCGTGGATGGCAAGAAGTTATTGGGTTTGTCTGTCTGTCTGTCTGTCTGTCTGTCTGTCTATCCCTCTTATTGTCAATTTATTTCATCTCTGCCTTTAATTTAATTTTTCGGTCGATATATTATAAATATTTATTTAATATTATCTCTTGTACTTTTCAGAAGTTCTTAAAACAATCACCAATGTATAGATTATAAATTATCTTAAATTTTTTTAATGCATTAGTGATCAGTTTATCAGGAATCGTTTTTTTTAATATCTCGTTAGAAGGAAACTTCTTTGGCACAACGGCTCACGTTTTAACATTTTTCTACATCTTCATAGAGCAAATTTTACGTTTTTTCATCTGCCTTTTATTATCACATCGTGCTGTCATTTTTTGTTCGTATATTTTCATTAAATATTTAACTCAATGGCGGAATTTTTTAACGCATAGGAACACGAAAGTTACAAAAATTTTCCAATTGATTTAATTTTCCAGTGAAGGGGAGTGGGATTTCTACTGGTGCGATGTTGGCTGGATGAAGGAGTACTTCGATCACTTCTTCCTTGAAGAACAAACAAAGATATGTCACTTTAGAAACCATTACGAAGTAGTTATTTTTCTTCTTATTATTATTAATCTTTCTCTTCTTCTTTTTATTATTATTATTAATAATCTTTTTCTTCCACTTTTTTTTTATTATTTTTATGGTATCTATGTGAAAAGTTGGTTTTAACGTTCTTATCAAAACGATATCTTACACTATGTTACATTACTGGCTCAGCTTTCTAACCTCTTTACCTCAAAAAAATTTCCAAAAAGATTTCAAACCTTTTTGCCAATCATATACTTTTCAAAACGTTAATTTGAAATACATAATGTACATATATACTAGCCCATTGGTTACGCCTCTGATCTGACTCGAAAAAAATAATTTTACTATTCCGCAGTTGACAAGAAAGAACCTGATGGTCAAGAATTTGAAAAGGTATAGAAAGCAGATTGAGAAAGAGTTCGGAAAAGTGGAAGCACAGAAGTAATGGATGAATTTCATGAATAAATTTGAAAATATTATTTTGAATCTGTAATGAACTTTGTAAACATCATTTTAAATAAAGTTATTATTTATATTATACATCAATTTAAATTTGAAAATATTATTTTTAATCTATAATTAAATTTGAAAATATCATTTTAAATATTATAATACGGTTGTGAATGTTAGTGTTTTCATGTAGTGACGTCATCGTCATCATCGTCATGGTGGCAATTATTATCATCGTCATCATCAACATCATCATCCTTTTAACTTTTACTTTATTTTAATTCTTTTATTTCTTTTAAATATCTTTCTCAAAAAGGTTTTCTCATTTTAGTTGGAAAATGTTATTAAATTGAAAAGTTTTAAAAATTTGAAGGTGTGATTTCTTTCCCATGACATTCGAACTCCCTGTTAGTAAATGTCGAATCGTTTAACATCATCATCACCATCATTTTCATCATCATCAACATCGTTGTCATAAACATTATCGTTGTCATCATCATCATTTTCATTAACATCATCATCACGTTAACATCATCTTCGTCGTCATTGCATCATCATCATTATTATATCATCGTCATAATCTCAATGAGACTCTTCATACATTGTCTGGGCAAACATTTTAAACACGCTGTCTTCTTAAAACACACACACGTACACACGTACACACGCACACAAATACATACACATACACTTCTACACATACACACACGCACACTGAACGCAAGAACGTTAATATTGATCTGCAAACATTTGACACATTAAGATTCAATAGCAACGAAGTATTAATCAAGCATTCAATCAATCTATCAATCAGCCAATCAACTAAGTAATCATTTTGCCAACCAATCAATCAATCAACCAACCAATCAGTCAATCAACCAGTTAGATTAATCAACTGAAAAATCGATCGTTTAACCGCTTAAGCCATCTATCATTTAAATATTTGAATTGAAAATTTCAACCAATCAACCAACTTGGCATCCAACCAACCAATCAGACAGAGTACCACATGTTCGTAGAGGAGTTCAAAAAATCACCAGGTCAGATCTGGATCATGAAACCAGTGGCCAAATCGCAAGGAAAGGGAATATTTCTATTCAGAAAGTTGAAAGATATTGTCGATTGGAAAAAGGTACACAAACTTTTTCAACATATTATAACAAAAATAATTTACGAAAGATAATAAATCAAACTTTTATGACCGGATGCCAATGTGTGCCACTCACTCACTCACCACCACCAGACCCTGACGACGATACAGACATCAGTTGACTACAGCCCCCCCGTCAAGGAGCCAGTCGAGGCCTACGTGGTCCAGCGTTACATCGACGATCCCTATCTCATTGGCGGCAAGAAGTTTGACCTCAGGATATACGTCCTAGTAACTTCGGTGAGTGAGTCATGGAAATGACGATGATGATGACGACGACGATGATGATGATGATGACGATGATGATGATGATGACGATGATGATGATGATGACGATGATGATGATGATGACGATGATGAAGACGACGATGACAATGTAGACCGTTATCAGGATGATGACGATGATAAAGATGATGATCATAACAGCACACAATGATAATAATGATGATGATGACAATAATGATTTTATGGTGATAACGATGATGAAAATGAACGGCAGTACACACCCTTGAAGGTCTGGCTGTATAGAGAAGGATTTGCCAGATTATCTAACACCAGATTTTCGTTGGACTCTATTACGGACACGTGTTAGTTTGATGTTTCATTATTTCGTTCGTTCGTTCGTTTGTTCGTTTGTTCAATTGTTCACTCATTTGTTCATTCGTTTATTCACTCTTTTTTTCATACTTTTATTCATTCACAAACCTTTTAACCTACCAACCAATCAACTAACCAACCAACTAACCATCCAACCAATCAATCAACCAACCAATCAATCAACCAACCAACCAATCAATCAATCAATCAATCAACCAATCAATCAATCAATCAATCAATCAATCAATCAATCAACCAACCAACCAACCAATCAATCAACCAATTAACCAACCAACCAATCAACCGACCAATCACCGAACAGATATCCACTTAACCAACGTAGCAGTGCAAAAAACAGCGCCCGACTACGATAGCGAGAAGGGTTCCAAATGGTCCGTACAAAAACTCCGACTGTTCATGACCTTCAAATATGGCAAGGAGAAGGTGATGAGGATGGCGTAATTTATAATTGCGACTTTGTTGTTGTTGTTGGTGGTGGTGTCAATGATGTCATTCAGGATGTAGTTGTTGTTTTTGTTGTTAATCTGGATGATGATGGTAGCGATTATTTTTTTATATAAAAAAATTATTATAATTATAATAAAACTCAAAAGTAACACATTCAGTTTTCTATTTTTAAAATATTTAATTAACCATCAATCCATCCAACCAGCCAACCAATCAACCAACCAATCAACCAACCAAGCAAATAACTTACTCACTCAACCAACCAACCAATTAAATCACTAACTCAACCAACCAATCAAATCACTCACTAACTCAACCTTCCAACCAATCAAATCACTCAACCTACCAACCAACCAACCGACCGACCGACCAATCAGACGAACGAATGCTTTCACATGATGGACAACATGATCATACACAGCCTTCTCAGCGTGCAGAAGGTCATGGTCCAAGATAAGCACTGCTTCGAATTGTACGGATATGACATCTTACTTGATGTCAATCTCAAACCGTCGGTTTTCCATAATTTATTTATATTATAACTATATAATATTATCTATTTATTATATTACATTTATATAATATTTATATTTATTATATCATATATATAAATATATATTTGTATATTATGGTCATAATTGTTTATTATAGTAGCATAATTAGAATGATATGTAGCTGGGATCGAAATAACCGTTCAATGCAGATGGCTGCTTGAAATAAATGCCAGCCCTTCGTTACAGGCCAGCAATCAAGAGGATTATGATCTGAAGTTTCGCATGCTGGATGACGTTCTTAATGTCATTGACCTTGAAAATAGGTCGAACTGGTTGGCCAGTTGGTCGGCTGATGAGTTGATTGGATGGTTGGTCGGTTGATAAGTTGATTGGATGGTTGGTCGGTTGATAAGTTGATTGGATGGTTGATCGGTTGATAAGTTGATTGGATGGTTGGTCGGTTGATAAGTTGATTGGATGGTTGGTCGGTTGGTCGATTGATTTAGAGTTTGGTAATGTGAGTTATTTATCTTGGTTCATATCTTTCCCTTCAAAAAAAATGATTTCATGTAGGGTATGACAAGTTAGAAATAACTTTTTTTCTTTGATTAGATGAGTATTATTAAGTTATAAATATTATCAATCTATCATTACCTATCATTCGGATGGTCTGTGTGTGTGTGTGTGTGTGTGTGTGTGTGTGTGTGTGTGTGTGTGTGTAAGTTAGTGTGTGATTGATTGATGTGATGTTTAGATTGACCGGAAACGAACGGAACGTAGGCGGATTCGATATGATGTGGAACGACGGACCCATCTACGCTGAATCATCACTTGCTCCGGAACCACAGCAACTTTATTTCAATTCATTCCCTGGTTTAATTGATTGGTTGATCCATTGGTTGATTGGTTGGTTGATTAATTGATTGATTAGTTAATTGATTGATTGTACAATTGGTTGATTGATTGGCTAATATTAATAGATTGATTGTACGATTGGTTGATTGATTTAGTTAGGATTTGAATGGTTGATTGAGAAAAAAGTAAAATATTAACGGCAAAATTAATTAACTAGACAATTAGTTAATTAATAAAGCGCTATACAATCTAAAAAAAACGCACCCCTTTCTCGTAACGAAAGCAAAAGAATA